ACAGATGTGGTCTCCTCACCTCAAAAAAGATATTTTGGCCTTGGAAAGGGTTCAGAAAAGGGCAACTAAAATGATTAGGGGTTTGGAACGGGTCCCATATGAGGAGAGGTTAAAGCAAGTGGGACTTTTCAGTTTAGAAAAGAGGAGACTGAGGGGAGATTTGATAGAGGTATATAAAATCATGAATGGTGTGGAGAGGGCAAATAAAGAAAAGTTATTTATTAGTTCCCATAATAGAAGAACTAGAGGACACCAAATGAAATTAATGGGTAGCAGGTTTAAAACTAATAAAAGAAAGTTCTTCTTCACACAGCGTGTAGTAAACCTGTGGAACTCCTTGCCAGAGGAGGCTGTGAAGGCTAGGACTATAACAGTTTAAAGAGAAGCTAGATAATTTCATAGAAGTTAGGTCCATAAAAGGCTATTAGCCAGGAGATAAAATGGTGTCCCTGGCCTCTGTCTGTCAGAGGCTGGAGAGGGATGGTAGGAGACAAATTGCTTGATCATTGTCTTCGGTCCACCCTCTCTGGGGCACCTGGTGCTGGCCACTGTCAGCAGACAGGATATTGGGCTAAATGGACCTTTGGTCTGACCCAGTACGGCCATTCTTATGTTAACCCAAAATACCATTCTGGAGAATCACTGAAAATGTATCCACTTCGCTGCATGAGGTCACTTTAACATTCGGATTGTTCTGATTCATGATTTCTTGATCTTCAGGCTGATAGTGTGTGTGAAGGAAGTGTGTTCAGCACTTTTAATTTGTGGACCAAAGGGGGGAATGTGGGAGGAGTACCACCCTCACTGTTCAACTGCAACCCTCTAAGCTGGTTTGAAGAACTTGGAACTGTTGTTACAGAAAGGGTTCCTTCAGTCTCCTTAGCCATAAGAGTTATGGTTGCAACTCTGCGTCCAGAGTAGGGGATAGATCACTTGATGATTACCTGTTCTGTTCATTCCCTCTGGGGCATTGGCCACTATCGGAAGATAGGATATTGGGCTAGATGGACCAGTGGTCTGACCCAGTTTGGTCAACCTTATGAACTGAGGCAGGAGTGCAGAGGGTTTTGGTTGTGACCCAAGGCAGGGAAAGGCTGGGGTGCCAGGTACAGGTTCTGGCAAAGAAGGCACTTGCCATAGTAGGCAGCTCCCAGTTAGCTGCCCAGTGGGGACCCTAAGGCACCCTCCCCTGCGTTCCACCGCCCCGCATACCACTCAGAGTGGCCAGCTTCTTAGGCCATGTGCATCTCTGTGCCACATGTCCCTTCGAGGGAGGGAAAGGCTTTGTCCATGCCCTTGCAACTCTCATTGGCCAGAAACCAGCCAATTGGAGCTACAGGGATTGTGCTAGGGGTGGGGGCAGTGCACAGAGATACCCCCTCCCCCCAAAGGGCATGCAAGGGGACCCAGCAGCTGGTCACTTTGAGCAGCATGTGGGGTCACAGCAGGCAAGAACCCTGCCTGAAGGTCCAGCTGGGTGGTGGGACGTTGGTGGATCAGAATTGTGTGGCAGGCCAGATTGGGAAGGTTTGACATGCCAGATTGTGCCCACTCCGGTCTAGAGAGTGAGTGAAAAGGGTTCTGGAGAAGGCCCTATCCCAAGGTAACCTGGATGCTGCTCTTTTAACATAAATTGTATCAATTCCCCTTTTATTTGGATGTATTTTTGAGATCCTTTGTGACACTATCTATCACCCATTGGATATATCACTATGACACGCTCTGGTCCTTCTCTCCCTTCAGTGCATCCTCTGTCCCTTCATTTCAGTATCTTGAACACCTCAAAGTGCCTCTTGATTTTTATCCCACTCTATCCCCTCTTGCTCCATTGCACTTCTGCAAAACCCCACTCGTCTTGGTGCTTCATTCTTTGTCACTTGCAGTTCTGTTCTGTTGCATTTGATTGGAGGTTTCCTAATGAGAATCTAAATACAGAAATACGTCATGACTCATGAATCCCTTCTCAGCCACACTTGCCCTCCTCCTCCCTCCACCATTCAAACAGCTTTCTTCCATCTAACCATTCTTTTCTTTATCTGCTCT